TTGTTTCTTTAAACAAAGTGGTGGTGACTAATTTACTGACACTTACTTTGAATACTAAGATGAATCTCCCCAGAGAGCTACAAGCCCAGAATATTTTACTGCCTGCAACACGTAAGTCCAGGACACTACCTAACCTTTAAAGGCTCTTGTACTTTGRTAGGACAAGGGGCGATGGGTACAAGTTGAAACACAGGMAGTTCCATCTCCGTGTGAGGAAGAGCTTCTTCACTGTGAGGGTGACAGAGCCCTGGCACAGGCTGCCCAAACAAACACAGTCTGACCCTTCTGAAACAGACTTTGTTTTCAGCAACTTATCTTTGACTCTGGGAGCTGTATATTTCTCCAATACATGGATTCATCAAGAGCCTTTTTATTTTTAAACAACTCTGCTGTTTCTGCGAGCAAGATTAAAGGGAAATGTGTTCTGCACTTGCTAACCTAAATCCATACAAATGTTCTCCTTATATACTTCAGTGTTATCTCAAACTACGTATTCTCCAGCAGTGACCTGGCAGTTGACAACTTATCTCCCTAGACCCACAGATGTATTTCCTACTGATTAAGGCAGGAGATGACATGTATTTACTAAAATTATAATAATTTCTCAATCTAAAAAAAAATAAAAGAGTTTTCACATGCTAATGGAGTCAGGTGGATAAAAACAAGTACTGACATCCTTTCTTCAACTGGCTCAGGAACCTATATTCCTAATTTCTCTCAACTTTTAATCATAGGCTTTGCAAATACCAATATTATACTATCTATTAGCCCTTCTTAAACATACTTATGAAAGCTGAGCATGCTTAAAGGCTTAGAGCCAACACTTTCTCCAAGGTCCAGGCACGTAACCACCCATTACTCAGGCTTTGCTCTGAGCTTCACAGTGTCTGCAGGCATGAAAACCAGAAAGCTTGGGCCTGGCATGTGCAGGGAAAAAAGGCCTTAAAGTTATATGTATAGTTTCATTTTTCTGCCTTCCTCCAACTCTGCTTCAGATTCWACAACTCTGCTTACAGAACATCCCACTAGTTCTTAAAGATTCTTTGGATTTGAGAAAAATTAAGGTCACAGTTTCCACCAGGAATACGGAGCTGGATTCCAAGTCAAACCAGTTGCTGCCTTATTAGTCTCCCTCATATCAGCAAAGTCAAATTAACTCAAGAACAATCTTTTACCTATACTCCACTGCGTACCAGAAGCCCCAGCTACACAGCAGCTAAGAGAAGCAGGGTTATTTTTAATTTGAASGCTTTATTTTGCTTTTAAGGAAAAATCCCACTTCATGTCCTCATATACATTTATAATTTATACCCTGAGACAGAATAAACAAATGCATAAAAGTTTGATAGCTTTTTCTCCAAATAGGAGGCAGCTTCTCATGACAGAATTCACATTGTTTAATTCTGTTCATCTCCATATTTAATCATATCTTAAATATTGTTTGTTTCTTTTTCAAGACTTGGAAAAAGCTTTTCAGCAGCATTTTGATGGAGTGTTCTTAGTGCTGAACTGTAACTCCACCTCCTGTACTCATTGTGAGCTTGTTTTAACCATTCACTGCTGACAACCAAAAAGACTAAGCTTTACCATTTGATTAAACAAAATATACTGTCCTACAGAAAAGGTTCTGAAAAAATCATATAAGGAAGTGACTTTTGCAAATACTGAAAAGCAATTTTGTTTTTCTTTCATATAACTTTATCCTTTCTTATTATTACTTGTTTATGATATATTATATGATATACTTAAAATACACAATATGTTATAATAAAATGAATATTATTCTCAATATAGTTATATTTTTCATATAACTTTACTTGGGGCATTTTGACATCTAGTAAGAATATGGCATTGAAAAAGTCAGACACCTGAATAAAACCTGAGCAGAAAAACAGATAATTTAAAATTCAAGTCAAAATTTAAAAAAGCAACAAAAGAATCTCATTTTGATTTTTTATGTCAAAAATATTATGTCTGTTAGCTCTCCTCCATTTGCTATGGCAAATATTATGTCTGTTAGCTATTCAGACTGGCCTCCAATCCAGGATGTCTGGGTACTGACATAAATTAAATCGAACACCACAAGGTTAACTGCTTAGTCATTTTTGCAAAATCCCATTTTATAATTTGCATTAGATGTCAAAATAATGCCTGGAGGGCTGGATAAAGAACACTGTCCAAGCAAATCAAAGCAGCCCCAGCACTGGGGGAAAAAAAAAAAAAAAAAACTTAAAACGTGCTTCAAAATCAGAAATTCTAGAAGAATCGTATCTTGCTCTAAAATGCAAATAGCTCTATTTAAGTAGTAGTCCTCCATTTAAACTTTTATAGTGTTTCATGCTATTACCTCCTTTGCCATTAAATCCTTGCACCTAGTGATTTTCAGGACTAATTTCTCTGAACAGAGATTTACTGTAGCTTGGGCCCTAYGTTCCAACTCCTGCATTCCCCTTCCTGCCATTACCCTCTCATACTCTGCATTTGAATAGCTGTATTTTTAAGCCTTTGGTAGACATACAAGCCATAAGTTGCTAACTCCACTGAGAGAGTTCAGACAGGATTATCTCTTACTCAGCATTAAGGAAAAAAGAAATCAGACCTTTTATTAATCAAGACAGAAAATACCTTGACTGCATATGGCTCTAATTTATCTCCTTACACAAGTTTTATGGTTACCTAGAGCATAATATCATTTAAGAACTTTACACAATGGGGATCTATCATGATGGAGAAAGAAATGTTTTAAAGTCTATTTACAAATCACATTCAATGAATGCTGCTGGATCCTTCCGCAGCAATTAGAAGTATTTATTGTCAAGGAAGCCTGGGATTCCCCAAAATAATTCCCCAGAGGCACCTCCAGCTTTTTCCATCGCATTGGGTTGGCAGATTGATGCCTTCATTCCCTGCAGGAGGGAGCCTCCAACAGTTTTCACTTGCCTTTTCCAGCTCATAGAGGCCCTATGACCCTGACCAATCCCCTATCCCCCACTGTTTATCCCCATTAGTGCCCAGGGGCAGGACCTGCACCTCCTGCAGTGCTGCACTCTCAGAATCACACAACCACAGAACGGCTGAGGTTGAAAGGAACCTCTAGAGATCATCTAGTCCAACCCCCTGCTCCAGCAGRGACACCCAGGGGACACAGGGCAGCATCCAGGCAGGTTTTGAAGAACACCAGAGGAAGAGACTCCACAACCTCCCTGGGCAGCCTGTTYCAGGGCTCCGTCACCCTCACAGTGAAGAAGTTCTTCCTCATGTGGAGATGGAATTTCCCGTGTTTCAACTTGTACCTATTTCCCCTTGTCCTATCACTGGCCACCACCAAGAAAAGTATCTTTACATCATCCCCCCAGATATTTGTCCATATTGAGCAGAACTCTTCTCAGTCTTTGTTTCTCCAGGCTAAACAGGCCCAGCTCACTTAGTCTTTCCTCATTCAGGTTCAGCAGAAGTGCTGACACAGCACTCTGGGTGTGCAACTCGTTACCTGTGTAGCTGCTTGCCGTTGCTCCGGAAAGGCTCAGCAACATTCATCACTGCTGTCAGAGGGTTAAATCGGGAGAGGGAAAGATGGATTCTCCCGCTCTGACTTCCCAGGGAACCTTCCATCTAAGCACAGTAACAGGTGCATATATAACACTGTCTAATAGGCACTACGGGGAGTGCAAAACAAAGCTGAGGGAAATCTAGAACAAGTCAAGTGCTTTTATTTTCTGTTATAGACTGTAAACACAGAGTGGTGTAAAGATGGTGAAGGACAATAAAAAACTAAGGGACAGGTTGGGTGTATTTAGATTACTTACTGTTGCAAGAAACCAATACTAAGAACTTATCTCCTTTCTGCATAATCCAAGTGTTTGCTTTCAAACCTGCAGTTAGCAGTGCAGTGTATTATTAACAAACATTTATTTTTGATCTTGGATTATAATTGTGATCAGGCACTCTAAGCCAACAATTAAAGCCCTTTTAGGACAAAAAAATGTATACAAATAATGAAAACATGAATATATTTGAGCAAGGACTAATCAGAACTACTAGGTTTGGAAAAAAAATAATTGTGTGGAACATGTAAATCCCAGGTATACAATAATGACATTGTTTGCTATTGAAAAATTACTTTGTACCCGCAAAAAAATACTTGGTGTTATTAAAAATAACAAATTGCTATTGCTTACGTGGCTCAGAGCTGCATAACTCGTAATGCAAATATTCCAGTCATTAAGGAATATCTGGCCWCTGTAATTCTGTGGTGTAGGAAACACTGTATTAGCCTCTGCTTCTCTACACGTTTAAATAAATCTTCTGGCTGATAAGGGTGAACTAAAATAGCATAAAGGCCGATTTATTAATTGAGAACAAAACATTACCCTATGAAACCTTAATTAAAAAGCATTTAACTGTGACTAAAGGTAATATATTCAGTTATGTATGATCTTCAGCATTGTTATGTAGGAAAGTCTGACAAATGATTACTGCCTGCCTTTTCAATGCYTCTCAATAAGCTGTGTCTGTTACGGGGCTGAAACAAATGAAGTCATATCTATATTGAAGTCCTCAACATTTACCATAACAAATGCAAAACACTATTAAGAGACATGAAATTCAATTTAATGTGCAGCATTCAAGACTCAAAAATTAGCCTTAGAGAAAAAACATCATTATAACATCTCTATGGTACTTTAAGCAGTATTCCCCAGTATTTTCAAGGACTAGTTCTCATAACAGTGCTTGCTAGGCAGTCTTTGTAGATATATTTTGAAAATTTAGGAAAATCTAATCTATACAGTAACTTGTATATTGTTCTATATAAACTACCTAACCAGCCTATATTTAATAACTAAATATAATTTAATAACTATTTAATTATTGAAAGCCTATATAACTGCCACAACCAGCCTATATTAAAACCAAAAAAGGCCGCTATGGAAAAAAATTGTTCTCAAACAAGTAATGTTTGATTTTAAATCTCATGTCTTTCCCCATCCCGCTTTTTACAGGATCACAACAACAGCCGCTTGCATGATGGATCTACGCAGATATCCTCTGGATGAACAAAACTGCACACTAGAAATTGAAAGTTGTAAGTTACTGGAGGGAAAGGGTTGCCCAAGTTATGGTTGTCTTTTTAAAGGCATTCACAGGTTACAAAGGCAGTAGTAGTTTTTCTGATTCTGCACTTCCAGTGACTTTGTAAACTGAAAATACCTAGTACATTTTTATAGCACATAAGTCAAAACCTGCTTATTGTACAATATTTCGTTGATCCAAGCTTATACTATATCTTTCAAAGCCTTTTGTTAAATACTGAAGAATTTCTTGATAATTAAGTCATAGAAACAGAACACTGGTCATCTCCACTGCCTACTAACCACAGAACCCTAATAAGTTACTTCTCATTAGTACATTCATCTGTAACATCTGATTAACAGCTACCCAAAAAGTTGTTGGGAGGATTGTTCARTTACTTAACACTTGAAGGTTATAAAAGGAAAATCATAAATGTTAACAAGAATCTTGCCATTGTCTTCCATGAGCTCACATCCAGACTCACATTTCCAAGTTTTTATCATTGTTATAGCCTTTAGAATCTTTAGAATCCTTATACTTAAACCAGAATCTTTAGAATAATTAGTAAAGTCTTTAGTATCTTCTACTAAAGTGATAACCCTTAAAGAAATGACCATCTTGAGATTTCTGAAAAGCATTTTTATTCAGTCCCTGGTCTAATCGAAAGGAATACACTGGCAGAGAGAAAGCAGTCTGTCTAAACAAGCTGGTTAATACTGCATAAAACAGTACAAGGCAAAGTAATGCAGCAGTTTTCTAAGAACTTCCATTTACCACATTGTAACAGCTACAAGATTATGCTGTTAAAGTGATATTTTATTATAATAATACTTCTCCCTAAAGTACCAGGTTCTAGAAATGATTAACAGTTTCCCCCAAAATCTACTATTTTGCTTCACTTTACTGAAGGGAAAAAAAAGAAAAACAGAATCTCAGTATTCAAATCTCTGTTTAGATAGATTGTACAACGTAACTAAGGAAACAATCTGATCCAGGATTTAAGGATTCTTCCTTACCTACACAGAACATTTCCTACTSTCCAGGTCAACAATGAAAACAATGTTTTCCAGAGATTTTCATCAGTTGCAGTATTCATAAATRTTATATATCTCAACATATCTGTGAGGTGGATATTGTTTTTCTCTGTCAAGCATAAAAAAAGCATATACATAGGTCTGTAGCATAGTTGAGGCAAGAAGGGCTCACAGCCCAGTATTTATGCTTAGTTATAATGTCTAATTGGTAGAGCCAGTAAGAAGCATATTTTTACTTTGATGCCTGATTTTAAGCACTGAAATGAGCACATACCCTCAAAATTGCCCTCCATGATGAAGTATTTTGTTCCTTTGTAAGTGCATGCTCAAGACCAGCTTTATAATAAACCAGTGGAGACACAGCTTTGAATTTAAATTCTAAATTGCTCRGTAAGAAATTTGAAATCTTTCTATGATAATTATTTGCTTTTGCTGCCTTTCTTGGATTGATGTTATAGTTATYTTAAAAATTCTCTGCTAGGTTAAAAACAACAAACTTATTTTTCTGCCAGCAAAAGATTTCAGGCAAGTAAACACTCAGAATAGATTTAATGAAAATTGCTTATATTAAAGAGCATTTTCTAATAGAATCTGCTCATTTACTTCTTTAGAGATAAAAAATGCCATCTTTTAAGATCCTGATATTTTGGTCCTGCAGACAGACATGCGGGAAAGGGAAGCAGGGAGACTGTATTCTGCACATTCCCTGTGAAGCCCCTCAATAGCTGCAGCGTGTGTCACCACAGTGCCTTCTTTTCTGTCTTTGTTCAGCATGTACAAGGCACACAGGTTATGCACCACAGGAAACCTACCACAGCAGACAAAGCATTGCAAGCTGCACAAGGTTATTGTGATGAATGAATACCTGTGCAAGACGCCTCAGCCTTCCCTGTAGATCTGCTCTGTTACCTCAGCCATATCTTTAACCATGCTATCTATATAGATTTCCATATCTACAAGCACTCTGTGCATACTGAAGCACTGCAAACCTGCTACAATATGCACCACCTAGGACTTTGCAGGCCCAGGTTGCTGCCTTTCTGGTATTAAACACTTATCCTAGTGCTGCTTGGCTCATGTCCTAGTTTGCACTTAGCAGGTCATGCATTCTGTGCTTTTAGAGAAAAAGTTTTTACTTGGTTTTCAAAATAAAATGAATCACACTTCTTTTTCAGCAACTTTTCTACCCGGCTATAGCAGAGGAGATGGATGTAAATGAAGTACCACAGCAAACAAAATTAGCAACTTCATACTGGAGAGATATGGATTTGTTTGCTGGGAGGTAGCTGACTTGAAGACTCCAGTTCAGTCATGACTGAAGCTGATCAAAGCACAGGAGCATTTTATCAGTTAGCAGCTCTAATGACTGGAGACCAGAATGACACTCAGCTGCTTCCTATTTCTTTATACAGAAACTGTCACATAAACAAAGATTTGTAGGGATGAATGTTTAGTCAGAATGACTTGGAAACTGAGATCTTATCAAGAATCCAAATTTGAATCATATGGAATAAGCAACTGAAATGCTGACATGTTCAATTGGAGGTGAGAGAACACCATGTCCCTCCTGTGGCCAGTCACATGTCCCCAAAAGAAAATCACTTTTTCAGAAAAGTGATCTTTTTTTTTCTGAAAACTTGCTCTGAATAATTCACATCTCCAAAAATAGGATGATAGTCTAATATTTTTTCAGCTGAGCCAAAGGAAAACAAAATCTTTATTCACAATTTTCCTACCAGACAAAATTGACAGAGTAAATTACTTGTTGTCTTTTTTTTTTTGATCAGTTCTACTACCAACTGAATGATTTCCAAAAGCACTACCATGCTCAACTGCTACTGAAGGTCTACRGGTATTGGAAGTTTCAGAAACACTGGAATCTTTGACAGTTTTCCACTTTAAATAAATCTTCTGCAACTGCACAGCACAGCTTTTCTTATTTGCATCTCAAAGTCCCAAAATTACTGACAAAGAACCTGGAAGAAGAATAATCTAGGCAGAATTCCAGAGACTAGACTACATGATTTTTTCTTAGGWATTTGAGTGTTAGTAAGCCAACTGTCCTGATTACTTAGCACTTAGTAATACCCATTAATTTCCTTGAAAGCTGCTAAGGCCAGAGTAGGGAAGAAATGACAACSATAGGCATGGTTTCCCTATTATTACTACACACACTTGGCATGTGACATTTTCTTCCATGACAAAACTGGTTTAAGAGATTCCTTTCAACCTTTCACTCCATCTACTCTAGGCTGTTCTTGACATTGACTTTCTTCTTTTCCTTCCTACAGTCTTCTTGGCTTTAGAAGGAATGTGAGAGCAGTAACATTGACTTATTTTTAATCCTGTCTTTATTACCTATTTTATTTCTTAATAAWTTTTTTTTAGCATTTGTGCTGGCAGTAACCAGTGCAGACTTCATGCACGCAGAAAGAAAACAATAAATGAAGCTAAACACAGATAGCAGGGACCTCTATTCAATACTAACAGCATAGCCGTAACATAGCCTTTAAATTAGATCTGATCAACAGAGACACTGTAAATGAGTTCAAAGCCTGTAGACAATGCACAGGACAGCCGGGAAGTTAAGCAAAAAGCCTGAGCAATAAACCATGTCAAAGGTCTATGTGAGCATGGAAAAATGTCTCATATGCATTAAATATGTYACAGAAGTAGCTCCTAAATTGACCCTCACCTGCAGATGTAAATTCATAGCTTGCAGGAAGGTGCACACCAGCAGATGCAACCACAGAGCAATACGATTGCATTAAAAATAGCAAACAAAAGTTTAATACATGCCTARACACTACAGCATGGCCAAAATGGATCATCTAATCCTCACACCACTGGTAAACATCCCTAAAAAGAAAACTGAATGCTATGCATCAATCAGAAATTTTATCTTTTCTTCTAACCCTGTGTTCACAGAACCAGGGTTGCTGAGCAGTTCCATGGTTGCACTACATGCAACCTGGCTCTTCTCAGTAAATTTATCTGTGTTTTTAAAGAGACTTTTTAAAGAGACTTTTAAAGAGACTTTTTTCCTACTGTACAAGCATGGAGAAAGAAGGTGGTTCCACAAATGACTTGGTCTTGAGCTACTCGGAGGTGAGCGTGGCTCCATCTGTGGATAGAAAAGCAGTGACTCATTCCACTTCACAGGGATGCTGTGGAAATTAGTCAGCACAACTCCCTGAAAATGTGAAGTGCTAAGAGTTTTTGTTATTAATACTTACCTGTAAATAATATAATGCTCTGTGGGGAATATAATGYTCTGGGGAAGCAGTTCCCCATATTTCAAGTTCTGAGGAGGCAGATGGGGAAGCCACATGAGAAGCTTTATACCTATTCCAGTGCCTAATAGTGTGATGGCCACTAGAAATGTCTGTGTATAAAAAGAGAAGATTTTAAGACTAGAAAAGCTGTSTCAGCATAGCTGGGATATAGGATAATTCATTTCTCACAGATTACCAGGAATAGGAGGCGGGACATGGAACTAGATGATCTCCAAAGGTCCCTTCCAACCTCAACCATTCTGTGATCCTGTGACAGAGGAGATTGCGTACTTGGGTGCAGGTCCCCCTGTGCTAGGCACTGTCATGCAAGCAATTTAAGAGGTTAAATCCCTGAGCTGTTTGTTCCTCTATACCAGGTAGCCCCTGGCAAGGGGTAGAACTGAGTGCTTAACACCGGGCTAGAGCAGTTCATAAGCAGGGCTTTAGCAGAAACCCACTCTCATTGGCAATGATTCTGGCATTCTTTGGACTGGCTTTGGATGAGGTGCAGACACAAGCCTCATCTGATGAAGGTGCGGACAGAGGGAGAAGGCACCAGGCCAAAGATAGGGTACTGTTATTCCTAGAGAACTCCTTGTCCCTTTGAAGTTTGCCAGTATCACGCTCTGAGCATGACCGTGTGGACTAAGCTTATGTCTGACTKGCACTCAGCAGAGAAAAAACTGATGTGCAGAGAGCTCCGT